GGTGTAAACCTACGTTTGCGAACCAGCATGATCAGACTATTGGAACGGGGTTTTATGACATAAATATCTTATTTATTCTCTTTATTGACACACTAAACGAAGAATTGCACGAATTCTCTCTAGACTGTTTTGTAGGGCTTAAAAACCGAACATGAAGTATATTGCAGTGTTTTTGAACGGTTTTTGGTCACGAAGAAAACTCTAAAAATGTTATACTATTTTAATTTTATTCTTATGAGAAATAAGTTGACTATTGTAGGCCGATGGTTTTTTATAAATATATTGAAATCAAGTGTAGTAAATTTATTGATTTTACCCTATACTATAAAGATTTTAGGGGGAAAACACGTTATTACCTTCCCTGCAGTAGCAAACCTAGGTATTCGTTTAACGAAGGCGTATGTGGTTTAAATAGGAACTAGTGTCCCTGTGTTGCTCGAAATCGAGCAATTGCTATGTATTATAGGCGTTATTTTAAAACAAATAACAGTCATAATTTTTGATGACTTTAAAAGATGCGACTTAAAGATTATGGAATACTCTAGATGTAAATAACAGTAAACATGTAAATATAATCAACATTTCTTGTGAATATACTATTTCTTCTCCTTCGTGGTGTTTTCTATGAGTGACTTTTCTATGTTTCCATAGTTTGCAAATCGGCTCTTTCAATGATTACTAAGAAATGCAGCACAGTGTTAATTCAGTTTTCTTTTTAGTATATGAATTTATCCAGGCTCTCTCGTTTTTTTTTTCATTGTAATATTTACGCCAACCCAAATTCAAATGGTAAATACTTCATTTCAACCAAGTAAGTAAATGTTTGTAGCAAACTAACTGTTAAATTAGCAAACTTATTGACTGTTTACAATTAACACATGTTCTTCTTCTCACTTTCAATTTCTGACAACAGCTGGAGTTTCATAACAATTTTTGTTTCCCATGTCAATCTTATGGAGAAATACGAAACTTTAAAGGGCCCCAGGGCTTCGCCCTCTAATTAGTTCCCTAAAAAAAAGTTTCCTGCACAACTTCACGTTACGCTCCTTTCAATTACACCAAGAACATGTCAACCGTTCAGTAGTTTCAGAGGAGTAATTGTCACAAAAAACCTGCTTGCGTATTAAATAAGTATAGATGATACTGTTATATTTAATTGAAAATCCTAGTCACCAGGTTTGCAGGGGTATTAGCAATTGTTTCTTATGTTTTTAGCTCATATTTTAATTCATCGTTATGTTAAAAACACATCTATGGATCGACAGTTTGGTCTAGTGTTGAGTGATGAACAATCACTTCGCTAGTAAAACACAACTCAAGCAGTATAACACTATTACCTTGTCTCGTCATAATGTGTACACTGTGTCTGGATTATCAAACCATAAACTCACTTGACAACCTTTATTAGTCCGGTTTGCTACAACTTCGCATGTCACCTGCTAGATATTAATTGTTCTATTTTAAAATTTACACTTATTCTCTAATTTGCTTACTGATGATTATTTATAAAACTAAACATTCCCCCCTTTTTAAATCGTAATGAACTATAAACATCATATTGATAATTTCATCCCGTTTTAAATCCACAAAAAACTATCCTAATGGTTCTTTCCATTTGCTCATTAATGAAGTCATATGTACAATTATTTGTTTAAATATTCTTTACCATAACAGGTGATCTAAAAGTTCGTTTTTTATCCCCATCGATACTACAATATTCGTAAAAATGTTAATCTGATACAAATATTAAACTATTGGTTTTTGAGATGAAATACTTTAAACGGTATAGCGTTTGTTAAAACACAATAATTCGTTATACTATAAATATTTAGCAAATTAAATGTTATAGTAATTTAAACCAAACTGTTGGGCAATATAATACAAATTTTAAAGTATTAGAAAACTTATGACAATTAACTAAACATAAACATAACGATCGAACCTATTATTTGTTTATCTTTGTAGAGTAAAGGTTTTACCTATTTACTTAATTTAATCACAAAATATGAATATTAAATATTTTAAATGTCTTTTATAAACTAAGCTTTGTTTTTCAGATTAATCGAAAAAACAAATCTTTGAAAACGTCATTGTTGTAAAACTAGTATTCCATTTAATCGATCCGAAAAATAAAAGAACGAATTTTCAAAAGTTTCACATGTTTGACAGATAAATAAAAAGTGTGATTAAGTGTGTTATGATCGCACCAGTTTGTCAATATAACTGCCGTATTACTCAATCCCTCAATAGAGCTCTCAACAAGGTTTGACGTGTAAATCGTCCATTTCGTTGACAGACATACGGTCTGCATTGGCATGTTTGATTTAGCCAGAGCCAGGTGCATTGTGGGCTTTGGACGATATATACGCTATCTATAAATCAACGTTGATAGATTTGTTGGACGGATGTATTGAAAATTAAATTAACTTCCATATGTATAAACACGAGTGGAGATGTTGACAGTAATGATGATTGATAAATGTTATGACAAAGACCAGTAGCAATCTTTCAATATAATACGAGTAATTGTCATGTTTATTTGATGAGTTTCAGTCGTGAATTTTATGTTCAGAAATGAAACACTAAAAATTACTTAAGTCTTCATAATGTCAGGATTTAACCTTCCGACTAATATTCCACAGACCAATCCAAGGTTTAACTGAGAAATGATTTTTATATTTTTAATTCAATGTCGTTCACCACCTTTTAGCTTCTTGTATTAGCTCACGAGCCAAATGCTTTGTCACAGCTCTAAACCGTCCATATCATGGATAATTGGCTTTTTTTCCTGTTATCAAGTCATAAATCTACCTTTCGTTGGACTCTTAAAATAATCCTTCTTTCAATTGTCGTCAAGTGATCCCCACTGCCATAGAATCTTCATTGATCCGATGAAGAAAACAAATCAACACCATACTTTACATCCTAATGTTTGCTACAGCAAACATTAACTTCTTAGATTTTCGTAAGTTATTGAACCCCATGTGGTGTGTATACCACTATGCTTGTCGATTACGATTGATACCTTAGTATCCACTGTCCATATATTAAATTTTCATATCCTTCTTATTGGGAAAAAATACTTTTCTCACGTGATTCTTTGGTTGGTTCTTGTATTATTAAGCTCTTCAAAAGAGTGAGTTCAAGAAGATGTTTTGTTTTAATGTAGAATAACTAATGTATAATGTGGTCAGAATATCCTCTTTTTAATGATTACTTTTAATGCTCAAAATTAATTGCCGTTACAGTAACTATTGTCCTCTTAAATGAACAGTGTATGTCATTGTATTAATAACTTATTTTGGACTTCTAGTCTAACTATTCCATTTCAAACCGATCGATACAGTATAAATTTTAAACGGGGTTTCAAATTGTCAAATAAATGTTAACGTGGCTATCAATGTTGCTACTAGCGGAATTCGCATATAGGGAATTGCTCGTATATGCAACGTACTATGGATCTATGGTAAGAAAATGATATTAATGTTTCCAAAATATAATTGATAATTTGGTAATTATATTTGTTTTGTTTGTCGTCATCAATGCTCAATTTAATTTGTAAATTAATTATATGTACTAAAGAATACAGGGGTAAAAGTTTTTTTTTATTATTTAGTTTAAAAATTGATTCTATTTGGTATTATACTTATACGTAGTAAATTAACAACTTCCAACTTTATATAACACAGTACGCAACGATCGCGTAAAGATAGTGTTAACGACACGAAGAAATGTAAGGTGCGTGCCATTTCGAGTGCCTTAAAAACTTGTTAGCACACTTTGAGATTGACATTTTAAAAGTCATAAATAAAGAAAACGATAAGTAAATAAGGGAGACTAATATGATTCCAGTATATGCAAATTTGGTGAGATTTGAAATTAATCCAAGCCATAATGGCTGTTTTCACTACTTATCAAATAAGCCATAAACGTTTATCAAACGAAGTGGTTCACTTGATTTTTTCTTTAGCGTTGGCGGATGTGTGAATATTTTATACAACCAGATGTAAAGATCAAAAAATGTTTCTATTTCACATCCTCTTTCCGTTACAAAGCACAGGTACAACAGCTAGTATAATAATTTATTAATGTACATATGTGTCTCCGTTGGCACGATAACTCAAGCAAAAATCATTAGTTTTTAGGAAATTTGGTACAAACTTGTAATCCTACATTTATTGAAATGGGAACGGGGTTAAATGGGGTAAAAATTGGGTTTTCTCATTTTTGACCCTCAAAACAAAAGATTTACCTAATTCATTCTGAACAATTTTGAAGAGCATAAAAACAAATGACATAGTACATTGAAGTATTTTTGTGTGATTATTGGTTACAAAGAAAATCTAAAAACTTTATTTTAAAATCCCCATGTTATTTTATGGATAGTAAGTAAACTGATGTAGTTTGTTTGTTTATGGATATATTTTGATCAAACTTAACACATTTCTTCATTCCATACTAAACTATTATTATTTTACCAAGACACTTTATTGCTCTCCCTGTAGTAGCAAACCTAGGTACTCATTAAAAATAATGTTATTTAAATATATTTAAGCGAGAAACAAATCAGGCAAATCAAAATTTGCTTAGTTTGCAGGTTTGCTGAAGCGGGGGTATTTTTTTACTTTTTTCACTTTAAACTCTTTCTCACTATAGGTATTTGATTTAATTGAATAAAGCAAGTCAGTTATTAATATGTGCTGTGTAAGCCATGCAGTAAACCAGGCAAGTATGCCGCCAATTAGTAACGTTTGTTTTGTTGCCGTTGATTCGTATATTGTTACACGCATAAATCGATCTGTATGGTGGAGAAATAAGGTACCAAGATAACTGTTGAAACCCTTACGAATACCCGTAACACTGTTTACAATAAATATACTGCAATTGTATCATACTATGGCTACGTTATTAGTCATTTGTTCACGGATGAAAAAGTGTCTTAAAACTTAATTGATGCTTAAATTAAGTTTTCTTCCGTTCATATACACAGGTTAAAAAAGTTAAGAAGCAACTTATTTAATATTTACAAATGTCAAGGTGTTACATATACACTTGATACATATTGGTATGTAGTACATTGTGTTACCACATACAACAACGATACTTGGATGGAACCCGGCTGAATCAGGGGAAATAAGGTTGATTGTAGTATGGCTCAGGCCTCCTAGGTCGAAACAGTCCGTATTCGTCGAGGATGTGGACTTTGTGAGGGTCCGGGTCCTCGTGCTTGGGTGTGGGTAGGTTGATGGGGGCAGTGTCTTCGCCCCATGGGTTCTGACCTGTCATGTACGACCTCCTACATCTGTTGAACGAGTCAAAGTCTCCAGGTGTCCGGTCTGGGTCGATGTGGGCGAGAGAAGGATCTGGAGGGCTGCACCACAAATCGAGATAAAAGTGGCTTTATTTGGCGTATGGTTTGAGTTTATCTAAATGTAAATTTGGTTAATTTAATAATTTTACTAGTACTCGCAATCACAATGATCCTCAAATATTTTATATTTGTACTATTCTGAACTTAAAACAGTCAATAAAAATGAAAAAAAAAATGCTTTAAAAGATGGAATGTTTAATCCAAACCAAAAGTACTCCGAAATGGTTTTTATCCAAGTAAAAGTGCATTTACATAAAATATTCTAGTATTTAATATGTAATGGTTCTAAGTTAATCTATGTGTTTTACAAGTTACTTGTATAGTAATATATTAAAATAAAAACAATGTTGTTACTAGATAAACCTACTTAAGTTATATTTAGTTATTGAGTTTCCACATTTATACAGCTGAATTAAAAAAGCGTTAACAATAAACAAACGATTCTCAAAAATTGCATAGTCTTTTTCATAGCCCAGGAATTTTTAAAACATTCAAAATGTTGCAATAAATATAATATTTCCTAAGTTAAATTAGCATCTCTTATCTGTTGCAACTGATAAAGTGAAAAAGTACCAACTTATTTTACTACTTTTACTACCCAACTATAATCCTAGCCATATGAATATTTGTACCAACTATATTTTCACTTTAAAACGTAGCGGTAAAAAGGGAAATCTTGGTGTGTTTTTGCCCCAAATGTCAATTTTAGTAAAACTACTTACGTGTAAGTGGTCGTCGAGTAGTCCGCATCCGTTATAAAAACATTAGGCATTCTCCTGAAGAGTCTCCGGTCGTAGGCGAGCATGTACGGAGGCTTGTTGGAGTACTCCCTGTCCACGCGGTAGAGGGCGGGGTTGATGAAGTGTGGTACAGGGGGCGCAGGGTCGTATTTACCGGGTAACCAGCGAATGTAGCTGTAGTTGAGTCCAAAGGGATCCTGGGGACCTTTAACTGCCTTTGCCGCTCTCAGGGCCATCAGCTGAGAACGATCCGTCTCGAACTTCTTGGTAGCGGCTGATAATTGATACAAAAGGTCATAAGGGAATATGGCTGGCAGGAAACGCATATTAAAAGAATCCATATAACTCGTTATTTCTAACGTGGAATTTTACTTACAATTCAATAAATGCTCGTGATTTGTTTAGATTTCTACAATACCTACAAAGAGGGTTCTTAATATAGTAGGTAAAGTAGGTTTGAACTAATGAGATTGTAGCTTTGTTACCGACTAAGATGATATTTTACAACCGGGGTCATTTATTCAAATTCGACGATAAAGCACACCTAATTTCAATTTCAAACCATTAAAAAACTTCTTACCTTTATTTTCGGCACGAAATTAAAATCTTATAATTACCAGGAGATTATAAGATCTTATATACAATTCCGCTATCCAGCTTTTAATGTTATAAAGAAGTATAATTGAAACTTTTATCACCAAAAGTAACTACTTTCGTCTCCAGGTATACTCTACGACCCATGTAAGGATGAGATCGGCAAGTAGGAAGAGAGAACTGTAAAGAAACTTGTATTGAACTGTATTTTTCGGAATTGGCCAATCACTAAAGTACAAAATAAGAATGTGTTGCATTACACTATAAACTATAGGTCCCTTAGTTGCCATTAGCTGTATGGGCTATTAATTAAGATCTATGTCTAAGGAATATATCGGTCTTAGTCACTAACAAGACTACAAGATCGCGCCAATCACCCTACACTTATCTCCATTAATACTTGGCTTAAACGGAAAGTAAATAAAGATACGTCTTATAACACTTAAAACATATATTTACGCTCATACTGTTACTCACAAGACGGTAAATATACAAAAGATGGTAAATGGTGATCGATTTCGATAGGACACTCGAATCATCATCAGACCCAATAGGCGAATGAATCTATTTGGCTTAAAATACCTACTTTGTATGGTCACCATTTCAATGAAAAGTATTAAAGTATATCCTTCCCAAGATACTCTCATTTATAAGTGACACATATTGAAAACAGCGATGACTCACCAGCCACGTTATCCGGCTACAGCGAGTATTCACCCATCACTATTAAGATTTAGCCAAAAGTGTGTTAAGTTGAAAAGGGCTCGATATGTTGGTTGCCAGAAAAAAACCCAGACCATTATCAGTACAAAAAGTAGTTAATAATTTTATTTGAAGACAGTTTTTTAATGCAACATGTCGAAAAAGCTATTAATAATTTTTGAAGGTTTAGTAAAGACACCAGTAACCAAACACGATTTAGTATTCTGGCTATTAAAAATAATTTGAGCGTAGTTTAAATTCGTTACGAAATTGTATCATAGATAATAATGGTAAGTAAAGAAATAGTAAAAATTGCTGAAATTTGTTTTTGCTGTATTTTTTATTATATTTTGTAATTTATGAATAAATTTAAAATGTAATTTACGTTAACGGAATAGGCTTATTACAAACTAACGTATTTATTAAGATAACTATGGTTTATTCAAGCTAAATTTACTCACAGTCTCTGACATACTCCTCGTTAGACTGAGAACTTCCCATTTTGCCTTGTGAGTGCGATTGGAAACTAGGATTGACGAATAGTAAAAATTGGTTCTCAAAACCATTTTTCTATCGTTCCGCTGAATAAATCCAAAAAAATACGTAGTATCGTTCTCCTATATTAATAGATAGCCTATCATTATTACAAAAACGCATTTGTCAGATAAAACATGCTATATAAATAGAGCTAAATTATTAGATTTACTGATAAGACACTTTTAAGACTCGTCACATCCTTGTTGTTGAAAGGTTTGGTTATAAAAAGTCATTCGTATGACAACTTTGAATTGATACATATTTATTTAGAGGATTGGTAAGTTTATGTGGAAACTAATTTAATTTTTTAACAATTTAGTGCTTTATTTTACCAAAGAGGGCCGTCAACAGAGTAAAAAAAAATTAATGTATGTTATAAATAATTAACTAAACCACAGTACTTAATATGGCGAAAAATAAATGAGAGTTGGACAAAGTTTAGTTAACCTAAAACTAATTTTTAAGGGAACTATGTAGCTTAAATAGTTTTTCACACCAGTATTAATATGTTTTTTTTCTTCAAATTATGACACATGAATAAAGTTGAAAGTTGTATTAAAAGTGATCATAAAACGATATAGGAGAAAAGTTAAAATAATATAAAAGTTTAATATACGAAGCTTTTACCTGCCTAAAGAGTAAAGGAGTATAGAAATCAAATCGTGTTTTTTTTTATACCCAGAAGTCATTGTTTATAAACGGTTGACTTCGCAACTCTGTTGGCTTTTTAAGTAGTATCTATAGCTTATTTAATGTACTTTATATTAAAATGAGCCTCTCATTGAATCATTTTTAATGCTAGTTTCAGTTAATAGACATATTTTTGTCCAATTTCCACATCCTAGGACGTAGACTCTAGCTTAAAATCGGGTTTCACATTATTTCAGAATGAGCATTTCGGCATTGTACGAGTATTTCTTAGATCAAATCGATTTGCGGTATGTGGGATTTGAAACCGGAACCTAGAGGAACTAATTAAGTCCCTCGCTCTTCCATCAAACCAGCCTGCTCCCACCCAATGAATTTATACAATAGAATTAATTTATATAACAGAACATTTACCAGATTTTCAATTTATGGAAAATGTAAAATAGGTTTTAAAATAAATAAATTTTATCTTGCCTGTTTTTTAGTGCTTCGTCAGTGGAAGACTATGAAGTTTACCGTGAGTGATTTTGTGGGAAGAGACTATGTGCTTCTTTATTTGATATTTTATATTGGCAAGAGGTTTTGTGAGAGAGCTGACTTGGATATTCCTATTTCTGATCAACTTCATATCGACTACGAGCTCGACGTTTGAAATTGATTAACTGAAGGTAAGGGTCCCAGCTATTAATGATTTTGTTTTATTGGCTTTCTTTTTCAAATACTGCAAAGCATGAAGTTTCATTTTACTTATCAACTAATTACCTGTCAATTATTTTCCGAAAAGTTGTTTTTACCTGCATTAGTCTTTACGGACATTGTAATTAATTCAAATATAAACGTAAAACTAAATTAACAAATTTTTGTAAAAGTTAGTTTGCAACAAAGCAAGCAGTTTCGTAAAATTAGGAAAATCGTTAAAATTCGATGTAACAGACTTTCAATGGTGTGCTTAACTATTGAACTATTATTGCTTAACCCCTCTTATAGCATTAAGTAACCTCAACGGTTATTTATCGTTTACACTCTATTTAACTGATAAACCTTATCTTGAGGGTCTTCAGCAGATAAAACATTGGTGATGTATCATTAAATTACCTTATATAAACGATAAGACTATCATTAGTTTTCATGTGTATTATTATTCTTCTTTCACTTTTTTCTGTTTTAGACCTTTCCTAAAATGTTTGATCTCAATAGTTTTAAAAATAAGATTTTAACTTACTTGAGAATTATAAAATCCTGGATTTTAAAACAAATTGGAAAAAGAAGAATAACAATTAATATTGGATAAATAATGCTGTATCAAGGTACGTTTCACTTTCATTCTTATTTACAATTTGTTTTGGGAATTATATTGCATCATTCAAGTAACGAGATTTAAGACTAACACATTTTTCCAATGATAACAACGTCAATGTATTGTTTTAAGATACTCTACATAGTAAAGATAGTGGGAGGCTGTATTATAAGAATAATTTAGACATAACTTAACCAATTTAATTAAAAGCCAGACGCATTAAACGCTTTGTTGTAAAAAATACACATTAAAACCTACTCTATGTACAAACAATTGTAAACAAAACCCAATAGTAACTGCTTTCCAATCCTTAGGAAAGTTGTAAAGGGTTTAAAAAAGGATTTTTAATGCTTTCATATTTTCTATTGAGTAATATATATTGCAATATCATTCCAAATAATTGCTTCCTCATCTGTTTGACTCCTTTTAGTAGTGTGATCAGATGACGACAGCTACAAAATGTCATAACCATGTGAAACTAGGATTTCAATAAGTTAATATCTAATTATATTTTGTCCTGCTTATCTGTTAGCCACGTTTATGCCAGCAACGTATCATTGGCTTATAACTGATTATATTTTCAAACATCGTATCTAAATAGCTGTGGATAGTAATAGTACTGTTAAACTTAACAGGTTGGTACAGTTCAGTTATTAATGAAGTTGAATACCCATTTAGGAATCATTAATTCATCCAATCATTTATCTGACTCATTCTCAACACATCATTCGGTGTACTATAGATTAAAAAATATTTTTTAAGACTATACGCATTTAAAATAATTGTTGTTTTCTAGATATTTAATGTATTTTTAAGATCAATCTTATGACTAATATCTTTATTTGTATTTCAGATAACTTCAGATAACTACACAAATGTAACTCCAAAGCACCTTTGAAGCCTTTTTAATGTTTTAAATCTATGTTATATATAAAACGTCGCATAAGTTATTTTATAAAGAATACATAGTATTATTTTAAATGTTAAAGTAAATAGCGTTTTATAATCATGTTAATAAGTTATTAACCTGTACTCCTGGCAATAAATAATACTGATTTCCTTAAGCGATATCCATAAATAGAATTAGGTTTGTAAAGACGTATGATTTAAATCTTGGAACAAGAAATTTTAACTAAATTCAATTTTCGTGGTCATAGAAATGTATTTTCAATTTAAATTAGAGAATCAGTCAAATACGTTTTGGTTATACAAACACCTTTCGGGTAGCATAATGTTGGGTTATAGGATTAGGATAAGGCCTAACAATTGATACCCATTTTATTGTCAGTTAACACAATTAAGCCCCATGTATACTACTTTGTGTACTGATGATTAAGATGTGCATTCTATATGTAGTCTAGCTCATTCATGAATAAAATATATCCATGTCTAAGAACTTTTAGTGCTAGATATTAGCAATAATATTTCTTATTCTGGTAGAATACCATAAGTGTTCGTTGTAGCAATACTATAGTATTATTTATATGCAGAATAGGATCAGTTTGAAGAGAAATCCTGCTTTAGATTTCGTCTACTTAAAGCTTTGAAAAGAAAGCTTTAAAATTAAATACTTGAAATAGCTCATGAAAACTATCTAACCTGACAAATCATGTCACGACAGTTGGTTTATTAGTATATTTAGCCTATGTATGATTCTTTAAACAACTACAGATAAATTTTATTCTAGGTTATACTCACTGTCTTGATGGATAATAAGTAAAATTAAGTGTTCACTCAATAAACCTGTAGCCATAATTTTAGCGAAATAGCAATTTATTAAGGTTATACCAATAACTTTGCAGCTTTTTCATAGGTTTTTTGCTGTTGGATGGATACTGAAGTAGATATCATATCCATTTGGAAGTTGTAGCCTATTTCTTTAATAAAACATAACATAGTTGAACTAAAGTATAAACTTCCATTTCCCCCATGGTTTTAGTTACAGAAATAGCTTAGGTGATCTGAAGAAAGCTATAACTAATTAATAAACCGTCCTATCACTTTGAGTTGGTCAAAGAGTCTGTGTATCCGCGCGCACTGACGGGCTCGGACCTGGCAACAATTTAAACATGGGGATGGAGAGTCGGTCTCATTAGATCGATAGTTAAACGTTATAGCTTATAACTTCAGACGAAGCTGAGCTTTTACAAAAAAAGTAAAGTCAAACATGTAATTCAGTATCTAAATAGCATATTACGTCACTAGTCCGGAAAATATGTGTTTACCATAAGAGTACGGTAAACCAATTTAAAACAAGTAACGATATTTTCGCCATACTACTCTAAGCTAACCTAACAATAACAAACAAATGTATGAATCCGTTTTACATTCCAATCACCTAAAGGACCTAATCACTAGTTATAACTTCTAAGAGAGGCTGTGTTTCATAATCACTCATTGCCAATCACAATCAGCCGGTGACCTGTAAAAATGAACTTAAATTGATTTAATCTTATACTACACTCATGCTTTTGTTTTGTAAATAATCCTCCTGAACAGCTGAAGCGATCTGCATGAAATTTAGAAAAGTCATAGTAACCAACCATGAGAAGGTACGAATCTGAAATGGTACAAATTGGACCACAGGGGGTTTCCCTACGTGAATATACACTTTTAAACATTTTACATGTGCTTTATGGGTTAGTTGGTAATAATGACATTATTTTCAAGATATCATTAAAAAGGTAAACAAGAGTCGAAACATATTGTTAAATAGAGTTCATCAAACGGAAAAAACTGTCTTTTCAACCCTCGCTCATTTTCAGACCTCGGCTTAACCTCGATCGTTAAGCTCGGGTCGAAAGTGTCACTTTAGGCCCTAGTAATGAAATATACTATTAAGTATAATACAGTATTCTGGAGGCTAGACAACAACTTTAAAAATACATTATAATTTACTAGCAGAGTACCCGTTCTTTGTACGGGGTTGGCGTGTAAGTATAAAATGCTTATTGCAGTTATACTCTAGCTTTGCGTTTGCAATGGGGGTTAGATAAGGCCTGAGATAATTTGGTTCTTTATATTTACGGTGTGTTATAGTATTACAGATATAGTAAAGTATATACAGTATAGTATTACACATATACCATTGTAATTCTGTTCTACCACTGCACCTAAACAATATAAAAAGTATATTTCAGTCATTCACACAATATCACAAATTATGTATTAAATTAAAAACATAAACATTACTGTAAACAATCCTACTTTGACAGTTAACATTGTGTATCACAGCTTTTTGATGCTGCTTATTTCAAATCATAATTCCAACAAATATAATAGTGCTGCACTCTGTTGGTAAACCTTATAACTGTAAAATGCTATTGCATATCATATAACCAACTTGTTTGGTTGAATTAGCTGACAAAATTATTTAATTCCTTTTTAATGTGAATACCCTTAGGAGCATGGAAAACCCCAGTTCCACTGGGGCGAACCCTGAAAGGAGTTTTAAGATAAAAATATGCCTATATGTTAATCGGAAATAAGAGCTATCATCACCCCAAATTTCGCCCCAATCCGACCAGTATTTTTCGCGTTTGCTTGTGACAAACATCCATACTACATCCAAACTTTCTTCTTTATAATATTAGTAGGATTGCAACAGATGCTTTATAAAAGCGAATTGTGGCGTTGCCACTTTTGTCTCGCCTCGCCTTTTAGAGGTGGTTGTACTCAATGAAATCCTATTTGATTAAGCATGTGGTAAGCAGTTTTATCCTGCGATGATACCCCAATTAAGAATGGTGAAAAATTAGTTTGTAATCCATTTGTTTTAAGCTCCGACCTTTGAAAATAAAACGCTAGAAGCATTAAAGGTTACCCAAATTGTTACAACAATACTCTTTTGAACGGTGTTTTTATTTCTACAATATTTGCAGTCAACCTATCGGCTTGCTTCTCTACGCGGTTGAAAATATCCCAACATTACAGTGATAGCAGTAAAACTAAGCTAGCAATTGTAAAAACCCCATTCAAATCTTTAGAAAACAGATGGTAGGACCATGTCGTTAATATCCTTAAATGTTTTATTAATATGTTCATCGATGAAGGTTTTCTGCGAGTCCTCTAGTTCTTTTGCTACTCCGTAAATTTTACCGAAAGTTTCGTCAATCTTATCATCAATGTTTTTTATTCCATCGGAGGTTGAAGCTTCTTGAGGTTTGATAAAAAATGGAGGGTTGTTGAGATCTTTGTTGTTGTTTCGTATATCATTAACGGTAGGTGGTGGCAGTACAGTCTCTCTCTGGAAGACCATTTTCCCATTTTGGTCGTAGTAAGAAGATACTTTGACATTTCCACCATTAACAAATTTATCTTCACGACGGAGACCGTCCTTAACCAGTGGATCGTCTTCTGATACGAAGTTGTTTTCATCCTTTTTACTAAACATTGACTTGAACTCTTCAGATAGACCCGCAAGACCTCTTTTACATTTTTTGTAAAAGCACCGGCTCTTTCTTGGTTTTATTTCAAAGTTAGTTTTATCATTTTCATTCTCGAGTCCATCTAGACCCGGGGTATCTTTGATGGCCTTGTGGCACTTGAATATGCCAGACAAGGCACGGAACAGTAGTTCTAAAACAAAAAATTTCTAAGTGAATGTTAAAGTATTAGTATGATAAACATAATGTAACTATGATATACAGGGTGAGTTTTAATTGTCCCCCCCCCAACTATTTTCTACATTTTTTCAAATATCAATCCCAGACCACTTCCAAACATTGTTGGGTAGTAAGTACTTCATTTTGACAAGGTGGTCATTTCCGGCCGCCATCTTGGATCCGCCATATTGGATGCAAAATTTTTCTTTCAAATGTAAAGGTGGGGTTGTGACCCATTATTTCGAACTACATTTTTACCCTAATTACAATGCCGCAAACTGTTTTTAAAAATCTTGATTCATTCTAAAGTTATGAGGGCTTTTCAAAACTTTATTTTTAGCCCATTTTAACATTGTGCATGTACAAACTAAGACCATAATCTCAAAATAGTGCTAGATAAAGATAAGTATACACTACCAGTAATTGTTGACCTATTTTCACTTGGTTATGACTGATGTATTTTTTTCGGCCGCCATCTTGGATCCGCCATTTTGAAATGTGATAAATTATTTTAAATATGAAGTGGGTGTTGTGACCCATCATTTCTAACTACTTTTTTAAGCTAAACTTAATTCCATGATCCGTTTTTCATTTTCATTTTTTATTTTTAAATATTGACATTTTTACAAAAAAATTGCAATATTTCATAAATAAAACTTGATAACAAAAAATGGATTGCGGCATTGAGTTTAGCTTAAAAAAGTAGTTAGAAATGATGGGTCACAACACCCACTTCATATTTAAAATAATTTATCACATTTCAAAATGGCGGATCCAAGATGGCGGCCGAAAAAAATACATCAGTCATAACCAAGTGAAAATAGGTCAACAATTACTGGTAGTGTATACTTATCTTTATCTAGCACTATTTTGAGATTATGGTCTTAGTTTGTACATGCACAATGTTAAAATGGGCTAAAAATAAAGTTTTGAAAAGCCCTCATAACTTTAGAATGAATCAAGATTTTTAAAAACTTTACTTTTGAAAAAAAAATTTTGCATCCAATATGGCGGATCCAAGATGGCGGCCGGAAATGCCCACCTTGTCAAAATGAAGTACTTACTACCCAACAATGTTTGGAAGTGGTCTGGGATTGATATTTGAAAAAATGTAGAAAAAGGTGTGGGGGGGGGACAATTAAAACTCACCCTGTATACTAGGACACCATAGTTGAGGTTGTTTTGTCTTTAACAAGTGCCTTACGATGTTTGTAATTTGGGTTAAATAAAAAAAACACCTGTAATTATTAACATTACATTTTTGTAAAATTTGTCTAAATTCGGGTTTTTTTGCAAAATTTTGAATATTTACAGCTGTTCAGTTAATCTAAACGGTACTATCATTGACTATTGGATAGTCAAAGGTACTACACACGAATACTAGAAAAATACCGGTATAGATCATAAACATGAACAAATTACGTTTTTGGCCCGAAAATAAACATTATTTAACATTGCTTGAATGGAACTGCCAAAACATATGTTCAATGCTATTAGTATAGGATTCGGGCCAAAAACGTCTTTTGTTTATGTTTATGATCCATACCGATATTTTTCTAGTATTCATGGTACTATAGGCTTCAACAGTCTTTTGAAAAATAAAGCATCGGCTGCTAGACTAAAAAAAAATACAATACATTTTCACAAACGCTGAAATTATGGCTTCGACATTACCTTCCTCTCAAAATGACATTATTATGACAAAATGGCTTTATTCAGAATTTTTGAGACATTAAATCCATTTACTTAAAATTTTTTTGTAAAAATGTAAATAGTTCATAATTATTTTTTATTAAAAGATTTTCAGTTACATTCTAGCGTGTAAGTATTATCATGGTCCGCACCGCATATAATGTATTCCGCTTAGTGTCTCAATAACTTGTTTTGAATATGGCCTACATGCTAATTTAATAGATACTAATATAAGGAAAACTTTTTATTTGACCAAATTGTATATTTTTTATTCATAACAAGAGCAGTATAGTATTGTATAATGAATGTATTTTGCAAAAAGGTAGTCTAAAATGTTTAATTGATTTATTTGATGAATACTAACCACAAAACAAAGAAATCCAAATCCATGAAAAGATGTTAAGTGTACTCATCCTTCTAGAAGGCAGATTTGCACCTCTAAAATGAAAAATCCGCTCTATTACAGTTTGCCTATCCAATGACTGAAATAAACTGATGAAATGCTCTTAGATAAGTAATACTCAGTTGTTATCTTATTTATGTTATATTTAGTAGAAGATTTATTAACTGATCCAAGATAGTTTGACACCAATTTGTGAATCATAGAAAATCAAAGTTGGCCTAAATATGCAAACATAAGCAATCGTAATGATTCATAGGTTGGTGATTACCATGACTTAGATTTTGTAATACGTTTTGACTTTACGTTTGAACTATAAAGTATTTTATTTTTAGGTTATTCATAAATTAAGCATGTTACTCTAAACATTAACATAAAATAGTATTGCTTTTTAATATTCACATGCCAATTACCAACCCTTACTATACAAACCAAAAATATATTATTCCTATATTGTTTGGAATAAATGGGCTAAAAATAGTAAAATATTAGAGTATGAAACTTTTAACCATCTAGTTTATTATAAGCTATAGGAGATTGTATGTAATACAGGTATATTGGGCTAAAAATGCCAAATTTAGTACATAATCGAAGTAAACTAGTGCCCTTCAAGGTCATGTTTATATTACATTCATGGGTTAGTAATTTCAGAATCAAATAAATCAAAATGGTCCATTCGTTAAGTCATAAATCAACGGATCTAATCAGTGTTAGTGTATTTTAACAAATAACATGACTGATATTAGTGGTAAATATCAGATTAAGAGTTAACTGCGGAGTTAATATTTTTTCTCTTTTTTTCAATAAAAAGCAATATCATCAAGTTAAGCACCTAAAATTTACACAGCAGCCTTGTAACAAAACATTTTTGTGTTGCCTAAAAGATTTCCAAAAATTACCATTAAAGAACATATTATTTGAGTATTTAGAAACTATATTTTAACATTTTATTTTAAGTAAACAATTCTTAGGAATGCAATGTGGTTATCGGACAAAAACAGAGTATGTATTATTACAACATGTTTGATGGATGGCCTCAAGGTTCTAGAAGCATTTATGACAGACTCGCGAGAATGTAAGCAACGATAGTGGTTAGGAATATGGAAGAGTCTTCTTTCTCAGGTATGTAATGCATTTACTATTTGTTTAGTATTTTAAATATATTATTACAATAACCCCGCGCAGCAAACCTTCACACTAAGCGAATTTCCATTTGCCTGATCGAAAATTCCCTTTAAGAATGTTAGATCGATCCATCATTAAAAATTACATTAGGTTTAAGTTAATTATTGACTAATTTAATGTTATTGACTCATTTATTTCACTAATTAATTGGTTTTTTAGCTCTATAAACTGGTTTGAGAAGAAACTGTGTAATTGTATATTACGAGGGTCAAAATAATGAGAACCAAATTTTTACTCCAAAAAATATATAGTCTGACCATGCTGGTTGGCGAACTCATTCGATTAAACCTAGGTGAACATATTCATATTTCTTACTATATATATTCGTTGACTATATATATAGGATTGTGTTTTTACTTTCTGGGGATATCAAATGTAAAATTGTCCTAACGAAAAACGTCTATGTCTTACCGTGACTAATACGGTAACCGTAACTACATAGGCAATTCACAAAAAGTCAAAATATTATTTAATACTTTTGATTAATTTGTTTAATTGTAATTACTTGAATGCCTGAAATGTGCACATTTAAAAACCAGGGTACCTAAACCATTTATTTACATTTTGCATCCTTTCCAGGTAAAATATTACTAATGGATGAGTAGAAATCAACGAAAAAAGCATAGTAAAATTAAGATTTTCTTAAAATAAGTTTTAAACCTTTGCGGTGATTTCCTTATTTTCATCCTAGATTGTAAAATAACATGCCGAACTACTGTACAACGCTTTTGTTGTTAAAACTGTCTATAAACTTCGATAACTCGTTTTAATAATGTTATACGAGATTCAAATAGGTCTTTATTTTGCTAGTGTAAAATTTACAGATAATTATTTCAAACATGTTGCAGATGTCAGATTTTTGATGGACCTTTGAAAATTGTGGGATTAATGTTTGTATGAAGACATACAAATACAACCAACTGTATTTGCCTATAAAATACAATTCTTTATTTTACTTGTCGTAGAATTTTAGAAATGCTAAATATATAATGCTAATCATAATATTCATTAAGAAGATTGAATTTCTACTTAAAACTCATGACACCTTATGACAGAGAAAAATCAATGCCAGAAATAAAGAACAATATGTCCATCGGCATTTCAACTAGCAATGCAGAAAGGCAAGGTATTAAGGTCCGTCCGAGTACGCAGAAGGGTACGGTAATCAATCATGTATTTCAAAACGACTATGCAACTCAAAATGATTTACAGCCATCTCAATCTTCTAGTGGTAGAAATGCAAGGGAAGAAGGGAACTTCCATAGTCCACACGACAATAGTCCTTTGTCAAGAAAAGACGATGATTTAAAATCTACAAGATCTAGTCGTAGCCTATCTTCTAAATCAATTGCATTGGATGATCTTTATTATTATAAACAAAAGGACATGGAAAACAATAGACTAAACAAAATATGCACCCAAAGTGACAGTGCTGAACTGTTTAGTTCAAAACTCAATAACAATGGAGAGCTTCTTGTTACCGAAGATGAGAACTGCTTTAGACTATCAAAACCAAATGTCCATCAAATGCAAAACATCGGTACCAGGGAATCAAGTATCCAACTCAATCAAAGTGTAGACGATTTGAATGTAAACCGCCATAAAACCGGTCACAAAACAGTTTACCAATCTAATAAGCGACGAACATCGTATTGGAATTTCGATCCCAAAGAATATCCAAGTGAGGCGAGTGAAATAGAAATCGAAGCTGATTTCATAAATAGTCCTGATAAAGACAAAAGTTCAAGTTCCAGCTTTGGATCATCTGACACACACCTTTCGCCGGAAATGGTAGAGGGCGGTTCAAACTATGTACAGCCTGATTCAGAAGAAGACGTCGATAAAAGAAAAACAAAATTTGGAATAAGAAGTACGCTGAATCATACAGATTACTTAAAAAGCAATACAGACAAAAATGACGATGCATCAAAGAATTCAGGTAAGGTAAATTAATAATTATCTTTTAAGACTTTCCGAAAAAAAGTTTAATTATTACAATGAACGAGTTGAATACTTTTGTATTTTTAACCATACGTTTTAGTTTTATAGATTATACATTTAATAACTGATCATTATTATCTGACCATAACTTATGTTTATAGTAATCTATGAGCAGTTAAAGTTACAAAGGTAAATCCTGTCACTACAAAAAAAATGTAGTCTTCGATATTTTCATATAGCATACTGAACTCAATAACGTTTGTTGATTTATTTGAAGTAAAACACGTATTCAATATTCTTAAATAAATAGCTGTATTTTGCTACTCTAAAGTATATATGGGAATACTTCGGGAATGCCAATGTATAGTGGTGATGTACAATGTGCATGTCTACATGTGTCTACAGTATATAATGCCTTGGTCTAACGTAGTACGTAAAACAACATAACTACTCTGAAACGTTATACCCTATTATTTAGTTTATGCCCTGCATCTCTTTTTCAGAAGAAGCTTATGCAGACTTTATTGCTGAAATTGAGAGGGCTTTCTTTAAACAAAAATCTAATTCTGAAAACACTGGGAACGAAGGATATATTGGTGGATTGGAGAAATTAAAAGCATTATCACGATCGATTGAAATCACAGAATCAATCAAGAATAAGGATCATAAACAGCAAATTTCATGCAAAAGTAATGAGAGAATCAAGCTTGTTCCCGAAGAAAATCAAAAACAAGGTAATTCAGTGGTGCTTAGAACGTCAATTACGAGGAATAGTGTTAACTATCCTTCAATAGGAAATGTCAGGATGAAACAGACCAAAAAAGACCTGTGGGTAAAATCACAAACGGGAGATGTAACCAATAGTCTGACCAACAGAAGATCTAATGCAAGATTGTATTCTGTCAACTGGCCTGTTAAAGGAGAAGATTTAAATGGAAATATGTGCAATATTCCATATAACTCAGATCAATCTATTTCTCAAATGTACCAGTATTGGCCCATGGATTACGTTTGGTATACTAATCTGTTAAATTATAACTTCTACGTCCAAAACTTGATATCTTTGGAAAGTACGTATACTAATCCAGGCATTGTGCCAGCCTACACTGGTGTCGCTGGTTACAACTGGCCAACGATTAGAAAACCTTTAAGAAACAGTGAACTTGAAGAAAAGAGAGATTACCCGGTATACGTAAAACCGCCACTTCTAGGCAATGAAGAAACTGAAAACATCCGTAAGTCATTACTCGCCTTTAATAACATTTTTAACTTTTATTTAACACTTTTGTTAGTGCCTACTAACTCTAATAAAAATCTGATCTTAGTTAGTAACAAAGCTAACAAAGATCGTCACACTCAATTCTACACTTATCCTTTACTCATATTTTGGTAAATATGACGCATTTGGTGATAATACACGCATCGGTGACGTCCCCATTTCAATAATTGGTTACTGATAAAAAGTGCATGTTGCAATAAAATCATATAAGACCATAAAATAACTTTGGTTACTGCCCTATCAACTACTCAACAGAGGAAAAAGAAATGTATCTGTTAAAACTATCTATGTATCTAACTGTCTAAATTATAATTATGATATTTCCCCAAACTCTTTACTAACCATGGAATGTTTTGAATGTTGCTAAACAATTAGTGAAACTCCACTTTTTCACTGATTTAATTTGAATAAAACATGATGGCCACATGTATTAGAAGTACTTTTAATAGATTAAGAAAACATAGTTTGTTAATTAAACATTAAATGTTTGTCATTGAGATAATATCACCTTAGCTCAGATTAGTGGATGCCAATCAATGTTATTAATTAATGAAATGTTAAAAATAGGCGTTAACTACTTACGTTAAACTTATCATTGGAAATCATATGGTTGGTTTTAGGAAACGCGTTTCAAAAATATGTCAGTTGGTTAAAATACAAAGTTTACACAAAAACTGTGAGGTTAAGAAAGCAAAAGATGAGAAGAGAAAGGAATCACAAATTGATGATAATTTCAAAACAAGCCAAACCTAAGGAAATGACCCATTCTGAAACCGAGGAAACGGGACCGATGCCTAAAAAAACAGAAGAAGAACCAGGTGAGAACTTACTTCCAGTCACACATAGAAGTAGGCCTAATAATGATATAAACCATTTTGCCTATAGTAAAAATCGGTAAATTATTTCGAACAAACATTAGAGAAATTGTTTTTCTTGTAATATTAAGAGATGATTCAGAGAAGCGAGTATTTGATTACATATTCGCTATTCAATACCACAAACCGAAGATATTTGGGAAGACTGAGTATTTAAGGTGTATCTAAAAGTATGACTACATTGTAAATATATGGATTAAGGATGACATAAAAAACTTTCTAAAATTTTTACTTTCCTCTTTAAGGAAACCTTTAAATAAGGGACGAGTAAAAGAGGTGTTTAGGATTAAAAAGTATGAAATATCAAACTTACACTGCTTAACTACTTAACTTACGTTGGTATATCCAGCAAATGCACTAAATTAAGAATTTTTCACCTGGATCTACAGTCAAAATTTGTTTGTTCATTCTATTTTTTTTTTAGCTCAAAAATTAGGGTATTTTACCTTACCATCTCCAAAACAAATTTTAATTTACTCCTCAGTTTAGTTTGGGAATTATGGATAAATTCCACGATAACCTAAATATTATCATCATTAATTCATGCCCTATGTAACATATTTATAAATAAATAGTAATCACATAATAGTGGCCTTTCTCACCTGACCAGTAAAATAAATTATTATTAATCGATATCGTGGTACATTTCTTTACGAAAAAACTTGAAAATCTAATTAAAATCGAATGTATACCAAAAACGTGAACTTGTATTGTAAAGCAACATACTCATCTAAAATTGCATAATTAATTGTGACATTGTTATTAGCTTATATGTAAGAATGAAAGTGATTGACGCATTAAGAACTTCTGATCTCCTCTTTTGAGCACCAATTATAAAAAATCATAACGTGATAGAAGACCTTAAAATATTAGATGAAACTCTATTGCGAATAATCCTTCCTTTGGCATTGATATTCTGAACACAATAAATAATAACATTATACTGTTGTTTACTTCATGAGAAACACAGATCTTAAAAACCACAACAAATAGTGTACTTATCACGAGTTTTAATTTCTTTAAATTATCACAAAAAATGTTTTTAATGATTACAAAAATGCAGAGAAACGCAAACTTTTAGTCACAAAATAATGCAGATATTTTAATTTTTCCTTAGTTAATAGTGTAAAATTCAAAAGTATTCACCCATTCAAATGTTAACAAATCTTTTCTCCATAAGGATTATATGAGAACTTTAAAGTCAACTGGGGCTGGGATCCTGATAGGATTTCTTGAAAACGATTCTTATTGTACACTTTAAGCTTAATTTGGATCTCAATTCCTCCTGCGTGCTTATAACATAGCTTGTAGCTTTGAGAACTAGTGATCAGTGAGTGGAGTGAGTAGAATTTAACTTTTATAAGATGTGTTAAACAATATGATTGAAAATAATAAACAAAATTCTGTTAAATTAAAATATTCTTAATTAAATCATTATTTTCTATGTTTAAATATTTTATTGTGTTATTCAATGTTTACAGAACATTTAGAAACAATAACTGATGATGTAACTAAATTGGAGAGCAATTTGGAAAATTACACATGGGTTCATCCATCAGTTACTGGCTTGGAATTCTCCACAGCCAAACCGTCTGAATCACGCCAAAACAATGATTTAATTGAAAAGGAAGAATTTTCTAAATATGTATCAACTCCAGAATCTAATCCATACAATAAATTTACGAATATATCACAACATTATGAAAGGTCAAGCAAAGAACACCGAGATGCGGAATACAGAATTCCCAAGCAAAATACACAAAGTAAATTTTTCTTTCATCCAATTTTGGGCCCAGTTTGTAAGAGGAAAGAATCAATTGTTACTCAGTTATAGCAATATGTTTCGTTATTTTTATCGTTGACATATCATGTAAAATACGAAGAATATTTTTGTACAAATTGTAATTTATTATAGGCCTATACACACTACTATTAAACATAACGATAATATTTATCGTCCCGTGTAGTGGTAGTAGTTTCTTTAAGTTCACTAACCAAACAAATAAGAAGAAAAGGCAACTATCATTGGTTAATTACTTAAATAATTTTTATAGTATAAGTAATAGGCTACTTCACCTACAATGAGTTTTAAGCTTTACTCATAACTATCAACCTATAACCATAGGGTAAAAATCTATATTTGATAAACAAAATTTCTTCCTTCAGGTTTGTTTCAAACTATATAAATTTGAATTTCCAAACAGGAAGCGTGGATTATTCGAACAAGGGAATCCAGTTTTAATACCGTTAAAACGTTTTTATTAGCTCGCTTTCTTGTCCGGTACAAATTTTGTAATCAATGTTATATATACTAACTTCCCGATGAGCTAGAGACTTGAAACTTGAAACATAGCTCACAAATGGAAGACAATGCAATATTATATCATTTAATTTTCATATTTCCCTTGGGCTACGCCCCACGGGCTTGTTTTTATTAACTCGCTTTCTTGAAAATTTTGATACTTCCCGATGAGCTAGAGACTTGAAACTTGAAACACAGCTCACAAATGGATAACAATGCAATATTATATCATTTAATTTTTATATTTCCCTTGGGCTACGCCCCATGGGCTTGTTTTTATTAGCTCACTTTCCTACAAATTTTGATATCAATTTTAAACGAAGTTCCCGATTAGCTAGTAACTTGAAATTTGAAACATAGGTCACAAGTGGATGACAATGCAATATTATAGCATTTAATTTTCATATTTCCCTTGGGCTACGCAACACTGGCTTCCAAATTTTCCATGTTTACATTTTGAAAGAATGTAAATATATCAATTAATTAAAGTCAGCTGTAAATACTTAAATTTGACAGTTCAAAAAGCAGAGGTTAATAGGTACAGGTTCTGCTCCAAAGAGATTCTTTTTACAAATAAACATTTCAAAATAAAGATAAACAATCTGATTGCAGATATAAAGATGTTTGTTAATAATGTCATTTGTTATTTATTTAGTATTCTATAAAGTAAACAACAAATTAAATGGATTGATATATTTATAGTTAGTAGGTAGGCCATACATTCAATCTAATAAATAATTATATGAAATGAAACTCAAATAAACCTTAGATTTCCCACATGCCTCTGTCTTAATCTGATATAATATAGATGCATGAAATAGATTTAACATCCACACTCATTAAAAACTAAAAAGTAGAAAATAATTAATAAATATGTGAAGAGTATAAATACTTGTAAGATTTAAAACGAAAAACGTGGGGTGCATGCAATGATAATAATACATTAGTTCAATAGGTGAAGGTAATTGTAAATTAACTATTGCATGCACCCCACGTTTTTCGTTTTAAATCTTACAAGTATTTATACTCTTCACATATTTATTAATTATTTTCTACTTTTTAGTACATTTAAAAACGTTTTGTTTTAAAAAAGTTTTTTATTTATAAATTATTTATAAATTAACTTTGGTGCTAAATGATATATTATAGTTCAGATCTATCTAGATTCAATTTAATACCATGAGTGCAAATACTTAACAGCATTGTTTTGTTATTCTAAAATACTTGTGTTAATAATTAATAAACAAATATTTGAATAATTATATCAGCATAGGGTTGTAAATGAGTCTTGTATTTTAAACAATGTTTTCAATATTTTCATGATCACAATAGTAAAAACATCTGGAAGATAAATATAAAAAATAAAATAAAAACATATGACTGTTGAGGAATGCAGATAGAAAATATAAAACAGTTACTTTACAGTACAGTTTTGGACCAATTAGGTTTAATGATTGAGAGAAAAGAAGTCAAATTATAATGCTTTGAAAGTCAACTTATCAGCTGTATCGCCAATTTAATCGAATATACAATGAGTGAGGGGTTGGGTTGGGCCGAATAGTCGTTGCATCACAATCTGTGGCTATGAGCGGTTATTTATGTCAACGACATAGCCTCTCTTAGATGTTATGAGTAGTGATTGTTAGTAATTAAAACACTGTCGTAGGTAAAGTAGTAGTCGCAACTACACTCGTAGAAGTTTTAAAGGAACTCGCAAAGGCTTGTACCTTAAAGTTTCAAATTTTCCTATATCCACGCGCTCGTTGCGTAAACTACTATAACTGGGGTTTTGTTGGTGCGTATTTTATGCTGAGAAAATGTGTGTATTATTTTGTGATTAAGCTATCAAGATTTTTACGTTCAGAAGAAAGGTAGTGTAAGTTCAAAATGATTTTCGTAATTTTATTTGAAATTTAAACAATTATAAATGAATAAATGAAAGAAAAGATGTCTACAGGTAAAGGGACTTCACTAAAATTAATTGAAGAAAACATTTACAAAACTGTTTCCTTCAGTGCCAATTGTAGCTCTAAACTCTAATGGAAATTTAAACACCTTTTATCAAACTTTAATAAAATAATTTTCCTACACTATTGACAAGAAATAGAGATAATGGTTAGATGGGAACTATTAACATCAACAACATCCAGTCAACATTAGTTTATCAAAGTAAATTTTTTAAGATCCATTTCACCGTGTGTTACAAACGTGAAACAACATCATGCATTTGGGCTTTGTGTAGCTTGAGTAAAATCATAATAATTAACTAATGCTTTACAGATGATTTTATATTTTGAAATGGCCTTACATCATATAGATGGTATAAACACTTCAGATAGTGAATATTAGTGAGCTTTTAGAATAACACATATATAATAAGGAAGGTTAGGCTAATCTTGTGAAAGCACTTATAATCAAGGTAAGTCTCTTACGTCTGCTATATACGAACTGTTTTGAAATTTGTGCACCGTTACGAGACTTGGCCCATTTGTGATACAGGCCCATTTGTGATACAGGCCCATTTGTGTATTTAAGGCCATTACTCATATAAAAATATAGAAGTTTGGTAATGAAGCTCAGGTTTTGAAGATTTGCTAAACAAGTTTCGGTAATAAGAAATTCCCTCAGGGCTTTGCCCCACAGGCCGATTTCCAAAAGAGCTACGCATTACATGCTTTTGAATTTTACATTATTTTATTTCATGAAACAAGTGGCAAATGCAATTCAGCTATTTCTTTATTTACTTGTGATGGTTTTTGATGGTGCTTTGTTTACATTTTGGACATTTTATTTATTTATGTTATTCTAGTTGTGTTGTCAAGAGAATTATGTTTTAGTATTAAAATGTTTGTAGAATGTTGTTTCTAGTTTTCTTTGAAATTAACATAAGCTACAGGTAAAGAGGCTTAAGCAAAATCAAAGAACCGGTGTAAAACATATTTTTCCTGAAGTACCGTAATTTATTGCTACATTAAAGGATGTTGTTAGATTCTTTTGGATCTATATAGACTTCACATATAAGCAGGGGTTTGAAAGTTATTAGATCTACACTTTTAAATAAGTATGGCTTTAAAATTGAATCATAGGTTTGCAGTATATTTAAACCCCCATCAGTGCCACATTTACACTGCAATGGTTGCGTGAGAAATTTAAACACTTGAGCCTAATTTACTGTGACACAATGGATCGTGAGGAGGATATGAAAAAACTAAAGTAAAACCCAATACCAAACGTTACCATAATTGACGAATAATCATACATTAAATAACACTACTTAATTATTTGAATGCAAATCTGAACAAAGTTCTACATCGAAATTGCCAAAGCAAAATTTGTGGTAGTTTTGTTAGTGAGAAAATAATGATAACATCTCTGAGAAAGCAACTCTATTTAAAAACGATATTTATAGCGTGTAGAATATATCACGTACGCTATAGCACATAGCACTGCATCAGTGCTATATTTTTATTCTTTGCAAACATTGCCGACCACGGTAGCTCGAAATTCGTGTTTTAGACTTGTATTGCTGGTTGGAGAGCGACCTCCTGCACTGTTTTGCCACGGGGCGGTGGTCACATATTGCAAATGCACAAAGCTAAGGTGTTTATCATGTGGTGACTAACACCGGAACGTTCCAGGTACACCTGTGTATTTCTTTATATCACCGGACAGTCCATTGGCCATTGGTGACTGGCAGTAAAGTTTTTTTATTTCTAAGAGGAACAAATTCTTATCATCACGAATTGAGTTGCAGTGAGATGGGTCTTGAGTGTCTCTTAACATCGGACAATGGTTACATATATTTGCCCAGCAAACCGTTCCGTAAGCCTCAGAAGCTGGAAGCGACTGACTCCATCGCCGAGACTCAGCCCATCTCCATGGTGTCTGTGTTTGACCCTGATAAGGCGAGAGAGATTGCCAATCTCCCACCCGATCCCGGCCCGTACGAGGATCCACCCAAAATGCCCAAGTTTCTCAAACCTTACTGGCGAGACAAGGAAATACCCAAGGTCCTAAGGAGAGTGTTCGGGAAGACAATTAAACTTACCGCGTGGATGAAAGAGATCGCCAAGGCAATGGTAGACGACTGTAAGGGGCAAAGACACATAGATCCTAGAAGTAAGTACAGCATGATAAACAATGTTCAAAGTTAAATGATTATTAATTAATACGATTGATTGTCAATCCATCTTTACATGTCAAAATATGTATGTATCGTAATACAAAGTTTGTAGTTGTTCCTTCTTTAGGTTGGATACATAACAAAGAATGTTTTTTTTACACGTGTACATGCACAGAACTAGTTCAATTCCTGATATATACCAGTAGACTTATATGTGTTTGCGATTGTCTGGGTAACTAGCCCTACATGTAGGAATGGTAGTTACGTACCCTCCCAATGTAATATCTGCTTACTACCGACTCTCCAAAAAGAATATTTTTTATTTACAAAAGATATATTTTGAATTAGTAACAAAATAAAATAATAAAATAATTTTAAACAAATAATACCCCCGCACAGCAAACCTACAGACTAAGCGAATTCCAATCAGTCTAATTGGACTATTACCAATAAATTTCTATAAATAGTTCTTGATTGTTTTCTATTCAAATTACATTAAATTAGATTTACTACATTACCCTAGATTTACTACATACTGTTTCACAAATTGATTCATGTTTATAACAAATTTGATCAAAATTGGACAACAATTGGCCTTAGGGACATCAAATTGAAAAAAATAAATCGGTCCCGGGTCTGTCTTACCGTGCCAACAACGTAATAGCTACTTCCGTATATGGACATTCGCTTATAATTATATATTATTTATATTTTGTGTGTAATGTATATACAAGCACATTTATAAATTAGACACAAAAATATGTTACACATATTAACAAAAATTTTAATTTTGTTTAAATATCTATTATGACAGAAAAAAGTTATTCTTTATTAAAATCTGCTCCAACCAGTAAACTATTATTCAACGCATATTTCTATTTGTTTCGGAAATATTATTTGTTTTTTTATATTATTTTATAGCACGTGTTTAAGATTTGATCAACGATTTTTCAAAATGAAACGTTGAGTTCTTTGTACCAGCAAACCCAAGTTTTAATCAAGGAAATGAAATTTTTCTTTACTTAGTTTTACGTTTAGATTCCCCGTCATGACTCAACATAAAAGATAATTTGTAGACTATTGAAACTAATAATACCTTTAGTCTGCACATTTGCTGTAACAAGGGAATTCGACATGTTATTGTCGCGGTTTGACTCCCTAAGACAGTGCATATTGGGTATTTTATCTGATAATTTTCTGTGTTATGTTGCAGGATTTAGAAATCAGTTTAGACGATACGTAACTTTAGAAAAAAGAGCTAGATATACAATGAAACTAATGGAAAATCCTCCACCACCCGAACCGCCACCACTGGAGTTCGGGAAAGGGGAATTGCCAAGAGGGTAAGTAGATATCCTTACTGCAATACGATGAGTATTTATTAATTTTATAGTTAAGCACAAAATACGTGCATATTAAAGAATTGTAGCAATACATCGTGGGTCTAGTTCTGAGTGCATGACACGTATACGCCGAATGTCTATAAGTTCAATCTAGCTGAGGATCTAGCACACAGATATATTATTGCGTGGAGAGAAGCTAAGAAGTATAACTTCTAAATGCTTTCGAATGTATTTAATGCATTGTGTGTGCCTCCCGTTGTGACGTTGCTCTAGGTGATGAGCCTACTTGACTTGTGGGTTCGCCGCAGCGGTCCACGTTATGGAGGATATACTGATATATTTCAGTAATATGCATTACACACTTTTACAGTAAATTACTGTTAATATTTAAGTTTACATAAATATTTATAATGAATGTGTGTTGTTTCAGAGGGGAGGATATGGTCCCAGACGAGGATCCTTAATGAAAACTGTGACGAATCTACCTTGTGTACATTATATTGTCATGTGAATAGTTAAAACAAATACTTAATCTTTTTAATATAATGGCCAAGCTTTATTTTACAAACATGATTTTTATAAATTGCTAAAACTTGTTTTAATAGTTTCTTAATTTAAATGATTTTGACAAGGCAAAGTGAACTTTATCTGTGTATGCAGACACCTTTTGAGTGCTTGGATCTTTTTCGCGTATTGGTGGGCCAAAGAAAACAGGACACACAATGCACAAACTTACAACACAATCTTATTTAAGTAATGCTTTGGCAACCTCAACAAAACAACATTACATTTATCAATAAGTTATGTTTAGTAATTACTTGTAAAATATTTTTAAAAGTTATTGTTTGTGTCAATGACTTATATGATGTGAACTGTTTATTGAATATAATACTCAAATACAGAAATTGTATTTAAACTATTTACACCATCTTTTATTACCTACCTAGACGTCAAAAACTAGCGAGCCTCCATTAGCACAATGTAAGTCTAAATCAAACTCATACAAGTATTGCACTGGTAATATTGTTCTCAGACATAAAAACAATCGACGAGGATTATTCTTTAGACATTCAAAGCAATATACGAACATTTGTTACCTACGTTATCCTGCCATCATATTCGTGTGGCACCATAGTCTTTTAAAACTAATAACAGTCATTTATGAATTTTTTAAATACTAGTTAATTGTTTATAGAAATTCTTTGAGCTATTTACAAGTGCTTTTCAATATTTAACGAAAATCCAGGAATATTAATAATATATTTTCCAATACAAATTATTATTTTATATTGAGGCTATTTGCCGGGCATAGTATTTAGCTACAATTCATTCAGTCAGTTTGGCCAAGGAAGGCTATGTTGGTACTTTCATGCGTGAGCTCTACTCGTTACAAAGATCACAAACTACACTCAAACTAGTCAAACCCCAATGCATTTTTCGGTTTTTTCATTTCTTTATCTTCAACGAACAAAATTAAGATATATTATGCCTTATATACAACAACATCGTGTTTATGATATATCAACTCACAGATTAGCAACTTTAATTATAATGTTATCTTAAATCATCCATAATCCAAGCTATAATCTTAATAAGCTAAAATCCAGTTTAGGCAACAAGGGACTTGTAAACGTCATTTAATTTGTATTGACTGGTTACGAACAAGCCCCTCTAATAGTAGGAGATAACAAACATGATTTAGATTACACTTTCTATCTACTATTTTTCTTTTTTATGATTTTTTTTTTCAAAACCGTTATAATTATGTAAATTGTATCAATGTACAAATCCCATTTAGAAAGTTCAGTAATGAAATAAGATTGATTGTTGTGTACAAGGTGCAACTGTCATGGCTCAACGTAAGTAACACTCTTGTCAAATGCATTGATTGATTGATTACAAGTAGGGTCAGAAATGTTTTAACATAAGTAACACCCTTAGTAATCAATCATTGATTACAAGTAGTAACAGTAATGTCTTTACGTAACACTCCTGGTAATCATATTGATTGGTTGAATAAAAGTAGGATCCAGTTATGTCTTAACGTAAGTAATATTCATGACATTGCAGCTTAAATAAATTAAAAATAACACCCAAATTAAATCAATTACAATATCCTACTTTTAATTACTTGTAAAAAAAATTCAAATTTAAATCTACAGCTTGACGGATATGAATATCAAAATGGACCCCATGCTGATATCAAGAATAAATACGTAACGTAATAATTAAATAACATATACATATAAGCTATCAAAACTCTTCAACTGGCAACGACTAAAAGTGCGTTGCAATCCAATACAAATTCAAATAGCATAAATTAATAAAATATAATAGATTAATAGATTGATAAAAAGATTTTGACAAATAGTTATCTAATATTGACATATTACAATATTACATTAGAAGGAAATCAAATATTCACAGCCAAACCCGGAAAATAATAGCTATACATATACATTTGTACATGTGTGTTCGTGTGCGTAAAAATTACTTATTTAATGTATTTTTACAAATCTTCATATTATATTACCATATAGTAGTATCAAGCTATAAATCAATTAGAAACCTTTCAATGTACTACCTTATAATGAACCACAATGTTCTTAAAATATCACTCGAATTCAATGGTTTTTAGTTTTTAGCCGCCTCAAAGCCAAGTTGAAGGAACTATACTATGATAGTCCTTTGCCAAATTTAATAAAAAAACTAGAGCCGAAAACACTACCCGACACCAAGCTTACATTATGTAAACGAACTTTTCCAAATAATGATCTCAATGATCTCAATCTACCTGACGACTTTCGGGACATAAAACTGGAAAAGACCAATGTCGTATACCACTTAAAGCTGAAGAATATTGCGCCTTACCAATGGATGCAGGTGGGAACAAAACTACTGAACATGGCTTACGAAGACCCTGACTACGACAAAGATGTGAGTAAATCATATTTGGATACTTAAAATCGTAAGAAACTCCTTAAACAACTTTTTTTTATTTTGATAGAGAGCACTAACGATGGAAATTGAATCATTAACCAGCACTAACAGCACTACCGAAGCACTAACCGTTGGTACGGTTTTGAAAGTTAGTGCTAACACATTACTACTAGGGAGGGCTATCTTCCGTGAAGTTGGCCCCACCCACAGTTTTTCCGTTATAGATACTGACCCGTAAGAGCACTAACGATGGGAGTTGGAGCACTAACCAATGATACTAGTTTTATCAGTGCATCCATGGGGGGGGGGCAACTTCACGGGCCTACTATATACGATGGTTTCAATAAAAGTCTGAATTTATTTTAAATTGATATTGAAAGGTCTTACCTCAGCAGTCCTATTTTATCGATCCGAAATTAATTTCGGACCCAAAGGACCATCATCAGTCGGAGTCTATAGGTTGATTAAATTTCTATAGTTGAATCCACCTGTTGGATTTAGTTGAAAGTTTTATAACATTTAACACAATACAAATTAAAGTCGATACTTATTATAATTTTCAGGGATATTTATATTTATAGTTACAATTTTGAACGTATAGTATTTTTTACTTCTGGGGACTTCAAAGTCAAAAAGTAAATCGGCCCCGGGTCTATACGTTCATGTGCTACGGTAATAACTCATACCCTTTGGAGAAATTCACTAAAGCACTAAAGAAATTCACACACTGCTAAGCAGTGTAAACGTGTAAGTACTGTAAAACGTTTGGTTGTTTTCTATTATATTAATTATGATTGATATACATACTCGTAATGTGGAAGTTTGGTTTTATTTGTTCAGCCTGAGGACGATGGATTGTACATGGACCCTCTTCCTCCACCTCCTGAACCTACAGAGTACATAAAGAGCCTGAAGGGGCCTTTGATATCTCTTCACCTCAAGAACCTGGCATGGCCAGCGTTGGAAGAGATCGGAGAGATGTTCTATGACCTGGGCTGGATCCATCGTAAGGAATACGACCCGGACGATTACGACGCCCTTCCTGACATGTGGGACAGATTTGATCAGTTTCCAGAGAGTGATGCAGAAGAAATGGAGGAAGGTGAGACACTAAATATTTCATAAATTTACAAAAAGGGGTAATGTTGGAAATCTAATTAAATTGCCATGTTTAACGTTTAACAACGTTCTTGCTTGCTTACTTAAAAATATGTTGTTACTAGCCGCCATACCCGTTCTTTGCAACGGGAAGGGAACGCTTAAGATAATAATTTTGTTCTTTATATCTGCCGTATTAACAGTTATTACCTATAAATAAATGTCTAAAATTTTGATAAAGCAACAAGAAAATAATTTTCAAAAACCTGCCTTATATATATTTGGTAATAAATATATTACTAAGTTTTACTGTAATCATAAGAATAGCAAAAAATCTTTGTAAGCCGTCAGGACAGATCCCTGGCAGAGTAAAAAAAAATAACTATGTCCATTAAGCCTGGGGTATGTTAGCTCTGCTCATGGATAACCAGTTCAGTTGGTCAAGAACTTTTCCCATAACCCAATAGACACCTTCTGGTGAGATGGTCCTGACTTCATCTATTTTCTTGGATTCAAATTTTAACATTACATATAAAGTATATTCTGTGTATAGTCAATGCTAATAAATAATGTGAAAGTTTGTGTTTTTTGTTTGGGTGGGGCTCAATTACGCATTAACTTCTGGTTGGATTGGGCTAAATTGGGCTTGATGATAGCTCACGTTCCCGATTGACATATATGCCTATTATTATCGCAAAAATCATTTCAGGCTCCGCCCCAGTAGCTCTGGAGTTTGCCATGTTAACCTTATGATTATTTATATTTAAAAGGAATTAAATAATCTTGACAGCAGTGAAAGCATAGCGTAGGATAAAAAGCATAGCAATAAAAGTTACAAGGATTACCAACAGGGTGCAACACTATTATTGATTGATTTGTTTGAATTTATTACAACAGCTAATTTGGCTCTTGAATTTGACCTAAGTAGTAACAAAATTTGTGATACACAATAAGAACTGACAAAGTAGGATTGTTACCAGTTAGGTTTGTGTTTTTAATTTAATAAATCATTATTTGTTATACTGTGCGAATATGGGTTTTTAGCGAATTTCCCTATAGGGAAGTAGCTATTACCGTAGGTGGCACGGTAAGACCTAGACCCGGGACCGATTTACTTTTTCATTTTGATGTCCCCAGATGCCAAAAACACCATTCGTTAAAATTGTTATATATGTATATATATATAGACTTATATATATATATATATATATATATATATACGTCCGTGAACGCGATAACTTGAGTAATCTTTGTCCGATTTTGATTAAATTTGGTTTAAAGGTGTAAAGCGGGATAAACTTGAATGAGTTCGCGAACCAGCACGATCGGACCATGGGAACGGGGCTTTACGGGGGGTTTTATGGGGTAAAAATTGGTTTTTCTCACTTTTGACCCTCAAAACACAAAATTTCCCGATTTCTCTTTAGACCCTTTTAAAGAGCTTAAAAAAACAAATTTTTTAGTATATAAAAGTATTTTTGTTCGATTATTAGTAACGGAGAAAATTAAAAAATTGTAAATTTAAAATTCCCATGTTATTCTTAAGGAGAATATAGTCAAATGTTGTAGTTTGCTTGTTTATGGATATATTTTGATCAAACTTGGCAAATTTATTTATTTTGTCCTAAGCTATATTTTACTATGTTATATTTTACTCAAAAACACATTTTATTAGTTTCCTTGTAGCAGCAAACCTAGGTACTCGTTAAACCTAATGTTATTAAAATATATTTAACTGAAAATCAATTCAGTCAGACGGAAATTCGCTTAGTCGGCAGGTTTGCTGCGGCGGGGGTATTTTATTTTTTAAGTGCACAAAAATTATCAACTTATGGACTTTATAAGGTTTATAATAATTAAAATCAATGTAGTAGGCCTATCGTAGCAAACAGCTGATCGATTCAAACTTCACACAGAATATTGTCATTAAATGGTAGACCATCTCAATAGATTACACCACTTTTTTTGCTTCCAATTTTCCATTACTTGGGAAGTCTATTCTATGTATAATCAATGTTATTAGTAAGTATGATTTTATAATTCACAAAATAGCATGATAAAAACACATTAATTATTGAGAGCAAATGTATTGTGTATATTATTTTAATGGCTGTAAAGTACAAGTGTCTTAAAAGTGTTTTTTTCCCAGGCATTTTTAATCCACTTCAGCGTGTGAATGAAGAGATGACGGAAGTCAAGAGACTGACCAATTCTGACGTTCTCCCCGGGATACCTAAGATTCCATGGAAGGATGATGCAGAGACATGGCTGGATAGCCCTCACCAGGATAGTCCTCCCTGGAACGACGTTCCGGAAGAAGACTTTAAATCCCCTGGGAAAATATATCCTCTTCAATCAACTGCTTTACATCCCCAAAGCAGTGAAGTTTATACTTTATGAAAAGTATTTCAATGCATTACTAGATTTTTGGTATTTATGAGATTCATTTATTAATAAAATTGCTGCCTTCAGGACTAATCTATGTAAGATATATTCTAAATTAGAACTGTATAACTGAGGCATTTAAGAAAATAAGTTAGCTTGCTGGTATTTCCGCTTGTATAGTCTACAGTATAGGTTTTACTCATAAACCCCTAGAGTGTCTATGAAAATGTAAAAGTATGTTTATGCTCTCGACTCAAATGTTATAAAAGAATGTTTAATAAAATGCAAAGCCTTTAATGCTCATTCCGTTTTCAAAGCCTACAAATACAGACTTTCTTATCACCTATCACAAACGTTGGCCTAAATTCCATAACAATGTTATAACAAATATTTTACTTCACAAAACATTGGTGAATGTATTTATCTGCATTTATTTAATCGAACAAAATTGCAGTTACATTTTTACTTAACTTAATTGTCATTCTCAAGATCGTTACATGATGTCTTGTTGCCTTATTAAGACCATTAACCTTATTTAGACCATTAACCTTATTTAGACCATTAACCTTATTTAGACCATTAACGTGAATATCTTTTTTACTAATATTATAAATCTGAAAGTTAGTGAGTTTGTGTGCGTTTGTGTGTGTGTTGCTCAATCACTCATTAACTACCAGACGGATTGGGATGAAGATTGGCATGATGATAGCTCACATTTCCGATCAACATATAAGCATATTCTTATCTCAAAAATCCTTTCGGGCTCCGCCCCAGTGGCTGTGTAGTTTTCCATGTTAACCTTATGAGTATCTATAATATTAAAACGAAACAGTGTTTTTTTATTTCACGATTCTGAATCAACCACTCGACGGATTATCATGATTTTTGTGTTGAAAGAAAGATAAATTTGAGAACTAGGGAATGTCGAAGCCATAATTTTAGTTTAGGGTCCCAGTTTTTTAGAAATTAAGTTTTAATTTTTAAAAAGTCTAGCAGCCGACGCTAAGATTGCAAACTAGCTTTTGGCATAAAATAATTTGCTTAACATAACAGCTGTAAATATTCAGATTTTGTGTCGCAAATTCAGCATTTGCATAAAATTAAAAGACATACTAAGGGTTGACTTATTTATACTATGTGTAATGCTAATAATTGATAAGTAGATATAAGAGGATGACATATTATTTAAATATACATAGTAAAATACTAGAATGTTCAAAGGATTTTTTAAAATAATCTTTGTAATCTTCGGTTTAGTTTAGTGCAATATAATTTTCTTTTAACTAACAGCTGGTTATATATAAAAATGTCCTTTAGAATTATGAGGTTATTTTAATTACTCTGATTTTGTCATTGATTATAGGAAAAAAGTGTGATTAGTAGACCACCGAGATAAGTAACACTATCGATGTATACAAGTCAAGGCTCTGTACACGAGTCTTAAAAAAAGGATATGCAAATTATTTTACTGCTCAACTTTTTTAGGAAACGGTAGGAAAATCCATTTTTTACAAGTTTTAACTCATATTGGTAGCTTTTTGTTTACAATCAATGTTTTTGAATGCTTAAACTTTGTTTGGATTAGGCCCGGAAATATTGATGTCATAAAGAAGGAGATCAGGAACCCTCAGGCATACAATTTTAAATTACCACCACAACCTCAGACGGGGTTTATCCAAAGATATACAGATGAATGACATAGATTGAGCACAACGTCATCATTCACCTAGGATACCGCAATTAGACTAACCATCTTTTTATGAAATCTAAAAAGTTGTTTGGCGTGTGTTTAGTTGTGGTTAAGTTTGGTGGCTCTGAAAATTTTATAGTTTAAATAAATGAATATGGGGAATTTAGGTGTACATTTATTAAATGAGGGTGGTTTAATTATCAATGATATTAGAACTGATAACGGAATGGATAATAAACATAGACAATTAATTACGTCACTAGCTTTACTAGCATGTTTACGGTTTAAGTTCCTTCAAAATGTGACCAGTTCTTTTGTTCAAATGAATATTATTTTATTTTTGACTCAGCTGTTTACCAAAACAAAAAATATGTTGTTGATTTTACTTTTCTTTGATTACACTTATTTATTTAGCAATTGAAGCAGTGAAATTGATATAAAGGATATGTGTGGACGATTCGTTTAATGATGTCAGGACACCAATGTTATAATTATGTGTACTGTGAATTTTGTTGAATGTTTTCGTTTTATTTTAGGGAGTTTCTATTCAGACCTACTGGAAATTGTGTAAGTATGAGTTATTGTATTGTAGTGATATTGATTATGGAAGAGGCAGGTATGCGATGGAATTGGGATGTGATATCGTTGACTAGGCCTATACACTTCTCAATTGATAATTACTCTTTCTACTGTAGGCTGCAATAAAATTTGTCTTTATACGTGTAAGCTAGCTGTTCTGAATTATACACAGTTTTAGCTGACTACTCCCGTACGTAGGACGGGCTAACACCTCGTTTATATTTAAAAGGAATTAAAGAATTTAGTCAGCTGTTTCAACTAAAACAGTTGGTTCTATGATTTGCAAAAGCATTAAAAGTTATAAGATTTACCAACAGAGTGCAGCACTTTTTTCATTTATGAAAACAGCTAATTTGAATTTAGGTTTGCTGCTACAGAGAAGTGTGTTTTGGTGAAACTTTAATAGATTAGTATAAGGGCTTACTCTGTGACATCCCTTTTTCGGTCGTCCTAAACAATTTTTTACGATTGACGTGTCTTTTAAAGGCTTATGATCAAGCGTAGTTTTGAATAGTAACAAAAAAACTGATTTCTTTCGGGGTTCACTTCTCTAGCGTTAGGTAAATTTATAAACATCCCTTTTAATGATTCAGTGTTGCCAAAGAGCTTTATTAATTAATTTCTTACATATGAATGTTAGTTAGAGCTGACTTCTTTCCTCGGTTGAATATTTAACCACGGTCAAATTGTAAACAAAAAAATATAGTTTTAAAAACTAATGGTAAATAGGCCATTTTATTAGATATTGTTACCTGAATGAGGTAGGTAAATTACTCTTTCGGTATAGATACACAATGGACATGATTAAGTTAGTGCATTTTTCTTGTTTTAACAGGCGAAAGTCCTATGGTGATATTTTAAAAATTATTCATTACGAATGTTTCACGTACGAAGTAACAAGCTCCGCTCCCATAGCAACTTTTTTTATTTAAAATGTAAAAGTCTATCGCAGCTTAAGATTTCAGTTCATAAAAAGTCTTTCCCATCTATTTAAATCTTATAAAAATTCTCTTCAGTACAATGTTACTTAACCACATTCGGTAATTATGTCGACCTTCAGTCAACGCTCCCCCCAACGCTTTGTTAGGTTAGGTCAACTTAAATTGGTTAACTAGTTTTCCGCTTGTCAGGTATTATGTCCGCTTGGCTGGATGTTACTAGGTTATTATACATCAGACTATCAGAAGAATATTAAGGAAAAAATTAATAACTTTTAGAGCGTTAACTGGAGGTTAACATAAATACGCCACAGGTATACTAATAACCGTTCACTTTAATTCAGTTATTCTTTTCAATGACCTCTCGCTCCCAATGAAAGTCGATCAGGACCTAAGACAACTCAGAAAGTGTGTAAAGTCTATTTTCATAGACAAGGTCTGCTACAGCGTCCGTGAGTTTACTGGTAGTCTTAATTAAATATAGATATACCGCACAAAAGTTCAAATATGTTTTGTTTTGTTTTTTGAATCAGTTTTTGAGAGAAATGTGATTTTTAGTGAAGATTTAGCCAATGCTATTTTCTCACATTGTAATAAATATTACCAGATTAATATGGTTATTAATCTAGCTCAATTAATGACTTATTATTTGTTTTGTATCGGAGACTTGTCAAGGACCCTTTTAAAATGCGCAATGTGCGCACCGGCCCAACTCTTATATTTATGCATACATAACAGGTTGGACAGACGGTGTTTTTTTGGCATTTGGATGGGGTACCTCAAAACGAAAAAGTAAATCGTTCCGGAGTCTAGGTCTTACAACGAGACAGGAGTAACTTTTTCTTCATATGGAAAATTAAATAAAAACGGAGATTCTTACTTCCGCATGGCGGGGCCTGGCAGGTCTTCACAAATTATGAAAATGGTTCGGAAGGTGAGAGATAAACCGGCGTGCAAATTAACTCCTACCTTATTTATTTTGTTGTTCAGATGATTCAACAGTAGAAATAAGATATTTAAACTAAACGTTCGATAGGGAAACCATACTGTATATCTTTCTCTGATACAAATAAGTGAAAAGAAAAAAGATAATCCTTAGAACTACCTACAATAGCAGTCAAGTCTCACAAATGACTGTATTATACTATCGAGTATCTATTATAGCGTATTACATTGAAAATATCTACCTATCAAAATACCTCGAATACATTATGTAGTAGAGAAGTCCATACTTTTTTAATTATGATCAAAGTTTTTTTACTTTGGACCATCACAATCTAAAATGATTTTTGTAAATATTAAATTTATTTATTTATTTATATATGTATATTTATTTCTTATACATGAACAACACCATACAATTTAAACTTTAGGCAAAGATTAAATAAGAAAGAGTATAGTAAAACACGTTCCAATAATATTGGAACTAGAAACACAACAGTACCAAAAAAAATGGTGCTTAATCATAACAAGTAAAGACTCATATTTGAGTACAAACAAATTAAGAACGTTCGCATAGTGGAAACAATGCGACAAGCGAACGGACAGACTGCAGACGAACAAACAGACACTAGATCGTGTAAATCAGGATGGTGTTGGGTAAGGCATGGATGAGATAAAGGCTGCCAAAACACTAGGGTCACACTTCGAGAAATTATTGGTATTAAATGAAGGCAATTGCGATTAATTATTGAGATGCGTGTACAACATAACAACATCGACGGTTAAGGGGGAAGGGCTCTTGTGCAAAGGCAAATCCCACTCACTACTATAATTGACACGAACTATTTTGGTTAGTTTATCGAATGCCCAAATTAATGTTTTAACATTTTAGTTGCAGTATCAGCTCGATCCTTTAGAAGTGTGATTATTCAGGTTGTAAGATTTGCTAATAAAGCTGCTTCATAAAATAATTCAATAGATGGAAAATCCTTCTAAAAAATTACGAACGGATCAATACTAACACGGCCTTTGGCTGTAACTTACACTCGTATACTACAAACGTGCTCTGGCGGTAATAAATAATACGGTACGCTGAAAGAGTCGTGGCTAGGCAAGTGGTTGGAACCATGGACTTATGTCGTGGACACCCGGTTCTGCTCCTACTAGTCATTAAACACATTTGACTTGGTTACAGTGCTATGGTAACTCAGAAGTTTAAAGCCTACATACAGGTCTAGCAATCTCAAAACAAAAAAATAAGAAGTGTCTCAGGTCAAAAAGATTAATAATTATTAGTTAAGATTATTAAGATTAAGATTAAGATTGATTAAGATTATTAATTTCAATAAAGTTCGTCAGCTATCCGTAAGGAAATAACTAATAACATGTTAAGCTATTTTTATTAAATTTTTTTTTTAACGTCTGTAAGAAAAAAAAACTACTAGGTACCAACAAACAAAAACAATTTTCTGTGACAATCTCATTTTCTGTACAAATTATAAAACGTTAAATTCCTACTGTAAAAGTAAACATTTAACGCCTTGTCAATCACAACAAACCTCTCCATATATAATTTTGATATAATTTACTTACTGATAAGACTACACTTTTATCTCACTTTAACTCGACAATCACTGTACTGGTGTTGAAATAGTCAAAACTAATATAAACGCAATGTAGGAAACAATTATTGAGTGTATGTTTTCAGATGTAATATATATTTGAAAATGGGGATATTTATGCCAAAGTGTGAGTAACTTTAGTACAGATATTTATCTTCTCGTAACTAGAGAACCCGTGCGGCTCAATGAGCCGCATAGTATGAAACATAACGCCAAGGAAAACTTTATGCTTAAATTCGAGTAATTGTAGCTACATCTTAGAGTTGCTTAAACACTTGTTAAAAGCTATTTTAAATATCTCTGTTTGCGTCGTCAAGGTTCATCCACATTATTTCTGCTTTTAGTTTTAATTGATAACTTCTAATGAATGCTAAACGATCTGCTTCAATTCGAGTTAACATGTTGCAACTAAGTTTTTCCAGCATTGAGAATTGAAGAAAACTGTTGCCTTACTGATAATCTGTGTTTATTAATTTAAGTTGGGTCTTTTATTTCTTTGATTTGAGACATCCCCTCAATCAAACGAATTTTCTCCATGGACCCTGAAAAGTGAGGTGATATCAAACATTTCATGTGCTCCATTTCTTACCCAAAACTCTGGGTTGCCAACTGGACTGCCATAATCTGCTTTGAATAGGCCAAATCAGCACCACCATTGGAAGTTGGTTAATGTATTTTAACGTGTTGTCTGCCAGTCTCACGTTGTTCAGTGGAGTGTCTCTAAATACCTGTCCCAAAGTATTGAAAGTATGAATTCATTTGTCGAAATAGGTTGGATAACTCTTGTAGCTATACGATTTGGATAGCAATTTTCATATTCTTTTTTTGAACAGCGTATATTATTTGCCTCTCCTAAATCATAAAAATAAACTTGACCGTAACAACTCGATCGTTGAATACATAAACACTAATTCCTTCACTTATGTTTAGTCTAATATTGCCACTAAAACTTTCAATAGCAAATGAGGTGTTGAAACTTCTTATTTTTGACTTGAAATGACTGGATTGTGTTGGTAAATTCAGTAAAAAAATCTTGTATAAGTTTTTCAGAGGAAATGATGGCAACATAACCTAGAAGTAAACAATCCATTTGCGTTCTTTTCTCAATTGAAGTAGGGCAAGTAATACAAACGTTTACAATAAAAACAAAAGGTCCACCAAGATTCGGTACAATCTGACTACTTGAACTTATCATAGTCAAGGCATTTTTATAGTTTCTACTAAATGTTTTAAAATATCTCGATCTGTCAGTGTCATATCAAACATTTCTTGCATGCTTTCATTTGATCTGACATTAGGCGAGTTTACTTTACCACCGTATGTGGCAGTTAGATTAATGTATCTGCGATAATAAAATGCTATGACAAGGGAGAAAACAGGTCCATGACGTAGGAAGTGGTGAAGGAAGTAGTAAAGATGAGCAGTGCAGAGTGTGGGGACCGTCTGTGGCAGTTAGATTAATGTATCTGTAACCCTAAAGTGCTATGGGAAGGGAGGGAAACGGGTCCACGACGTAGGAAGCGGTGAAGGAAGTAGTAAAGGCTGGCACTGTGGAGTGTGGGACCATTTTTGGCAGTTAGATTTATGTATTTGCAATACTAAAATGCTACGAGAAGGGAGGGGTACATGTCCACGACGTAGGCAGTGGTGAAGGAAATGAGGAGGTAAAAGCTGGCAGTGCGGAGTGTGGGATATTTCGTTTTCATAAATGTATTATCATCCCTCTTATATGATTTAAGAGGGATGATTCTTATATAATAGCTCATATTATGAGCAAGTATTTCACTACACAACTCATTTGAAAATAAAAAAATAAAATAAAATTGGCCTCATTGTTCCCCTATATGAGTGATTTGTATCATCGACTGTAAAATAAAATAACGGTTTGTGGATTGCCAGGTAAAATTTTTCATCATAATAAATCTAAATTCCACTGAAACTTATATAATAAGGTTCAAAATTTGTTGTAAATAAGACTTGAGTTTCCCTTATATTCCTTTACAATTGAAATAAACTATACCGAGCAATGGCTCGGTCCTCTGGTACTTTATGTAATTAAATCAAAATAAATAATTTAAATCAGCTTTATTAATTTACTAGCCGTCTGACAAACTAGTTTTTTTTTTCCAAAGCCAGAAATAGGCTATACGAAAAACGTTGTTTTACTATTGGCTGGAATTAGTAACTGGTTTTAAAGCACGATTCATGCTGGAAATGTGTGCTTGTGTTGATTAAATGGTATTTATTAGCATATCAAATATGATTTTAAACTAGAGGTCATTCAGTGGTCAACAAATCAACCAAATATATGATTTGTACAGACCTCTCTGTTCTCACCCCACGCTGTAAAAAATATAATTGGAATTTCTTCCATTTGTTTTTATTTTCTGTTTATAATATATCGTTGTTATTTTTCACCAGCATGGAAATCCATAAGGCCAATGTTAATCTTTTATAATTTAACATTATTTTTTATACTCCTTTTTGAGCGAATATTTATTCATCCACATCTTCAGGAAAATATATGTCTAACAGTACGCGTAGATTTGTCGTGCGATGCACACGAGCTGAGAAATGTTTTCATAAAACATGCTTGCTTATTAATAGAGGATGGGGATAATGACAGGAGTTTTGAATCAGCTTGTTAACTAAATAGCAATTATGCAGGCAACGTGTATTTGAGGCGATTATAACACGAGGTGTTACCATTGACTTTAGACAGCGCAGTGCAAGTGCACGTCGACTTCTTGTTTCTATTGTAAAATCTAAATCTGAACCCTTTGTAGTTGAGTGTGTAATTTGGAAACGATTGAGTGTAGCGATATCAACTAAAAAAAGTACATATTAAGTTCGGAAAAATAATATTGGTCCTATGGGGACTAAATATTCAATTATTTAAATATGCAGTTGTTTAACTAATTGAGCACATTGTCAACTCAATTTTACTTTTGATATGCTATTACAAACATACAAATTCGCTATTGAATTTAAACTGTTCAATAAACTTCTCATCCTCCTGGAAACCTGTTGATGAATGTTTGTGTTGGCGTCATTTTAGTGTGTTGATGTTAACTAAAATGTTTCACTCTAATTATAGGCCATATCTATATATTAATTTCAAACTGTTTTTCTTTGTCATAGCTATTATGAGAGCGTTATGGCTGGGCGTAGAAACTCGCTAGGGGTGTCTAAAGGAAGGTTTTGGTCTGTAGATGAGCCATCAAAAGAGAAACGTGGTAAATTCCCTAGGGGCTCTGCCCCAGTGGCCTTTAAAGTCCCATCCCATGTTATTCTTAAGGAGGAAAAGGGTGTTTTTGTCACAGCTAATTTGAGAGAACGGCTGGGTGTAGAAACTTGGTAGGGGTGACTAAAAAAATGTATTGGTCTGTAGGTGAGGTAAATTTCCTTGGGACTCTGCCCCAGAGGCCTTTAAAGTTCACTCAGCAATTTTGTTTACATTACGACCATATGGATAATTTTACACTACTTTTAATGAACCAGCTGTTAATATTAAAATTGTATTCAAAGGTCTACTGAAACTGTCAAAATTTTATGTTTATATTATTATTTATGATTTTTAATTGACTAGTGAACCTGTGCGGCTCAATGCACCGCAAAATAAAATATGGTTTTAGTAAACAAAATCATCGTGTTTTATATTGAATCGACATTGAAAATTAAATACAGTAATAATGAAGCCTTAGAAGGGAAGCAGTGCAGCCATTTTCTAGCTGTATGTGTGTTATATTTAGTAAATTAATAAGTGTTCAAGTTCAAGTATGTTATAGGGAAGTTATTTAAAAAAAAGTTTTTTAACACATTTAACAAAACATTTTATCATATCAAACCAATGAACCAATAACCAATAGGCTATGTAGTGTTTTCTTCAAGCAGAATTTGACCCTCAAAATATGCTTATTTTGAGGGTCAAATTCTGCTTGAAGAAAACACTCTTAAAAATAAACACTAAAAAACTACATTTTTATCACAAAAGCACTTTCATGAATACTACGATTTTTTTCCTAAAGATACCTTCAGGAATATTACCCTGGTCAGAATTTGAATGAATATGCGTATCCTATTAAAAGATGTAGCCTTACTTTAAACAACATATAATATAGTTGCTCATGATTGAAATTGGTCTTGGTAAGAACAGCGCTGCTCTTTAATTAAAGGGCTTGTGCTGCAAGTGCCAAAGATAATAGAAATTAGCATCAAACGGGCAAATTTTTATTCTCAAAATCTAAATATGTCCCCACTCACTTATTCCAGTTAGGACTTAACATTCTATTAAGTTGTTACCCGTTCTGATCACATGACGCCTTGTGCCATTAATGAGGCTCTTTTTCATGTATTTCTCATCAATAAAACCACTGCCCCCTTTTATTAGTCTAATCTGTGTCCTGGCAATCCACTGACCTCTATATTTAAAACTCAGTTGGATTTTCTAAATGGGTGTCTCCACCTTTGTCTGTTTTCGAGGACCCACTCTTCCCCTTGGCATACTGACAATTAATTACCTAACTTGTCAAGTTCATGTAGTAATTAATTAATTAATACTGTTAGTTTATAAAGAAAATTAAATAAAAGTTACTTGGCTTAGTGCTTTCATAACTGCAAACTTAGATTACACCCACTAGTAAAAAAGAATCAAGTTATTGGTAAAACAAAACTGCTGTATGTTTGTGTAACAACCATTATTAACATGAAGTAGATGATTTGTTTGATTTATCGATCAGCTGTTTTGTTTCAAATGAATTAATAATGTCAAAGATTTGTGATTTTAAATACATAAATTATTATAGTAAAGTTTTCTAAATCATGGCAACTTATTCTCAACTAAATTTTACTATTCCCAGCATTAAAATAAAGTAGTAAGATCCATTATGAGTAAACTTTAAGGTACACAATCCTTGATTGAAATGTAGTATACATTAACAGTCATAATGAACAGCAATTATTATGTAGTAGACTTTGACTATTTTCAAGTAACAAACATGTGTTTCTGTAAATACAAATTATCTCCTATGTTATCCTTATGGAGAAATACAAAACTTTAAAGGGCCCCAGGGCCCCACTCTCTAATTATTTCCCTAAAAAGAAAGTTTCCTGCACAACTTCACGTTA